GGAGGAGGAAAAACAAATAACACAAAGAGATAACACTGTTTTCTTTGAAATGTTCATTTACTCACACACAATTATGTGATCAATTTGATCATTTGTCAGTAAAAACTAAAATTCGTTTAATCAGATGACAGTCATAGGACTAAGAAACTTTGATGCTGGTATGTTGATTTCTTCTTCTGCAACAATATTTCATTTATTATTATTATTATTTGCCATCAGTCCTGGGCACTGAATTGTCATGCATTCACCCTGCTTGCATGATCAGCCAGGAGCAAAGCTTTCAAGTCCAGGTGTGCCAAATGCAGAAGCTCAATACAGCAGGATATTGACTTCCCTTTGCCACAGAGCACATGCCCAAAATATGCTCCTGGCTAAGGGCCAAGTTTGAGGAGTGCAGGTCAATATGAACATATAATAAAGCAAGGTATAATGGCTGCTGTGCTCTGGGAAGGGACTTCCTCTTTGCCCAGGGCAGCAGATCAAACCTAGGCAGCAGCTTCTTCCATAGTTCTGAGTACAAGGGAAGTGGCGCTGGCTTCCCTTAGCCCTGCACAAAACATGCACTCCTTTGCAAACCGCAGCAGCCACTCCTAGGCAGCAGGCTTTTTCAGTTTCAGCCACAAGGGAGGCATTCTGCTCAGCTGGTCTCACTCAGTATGAGACAAAAAAAATCATAACTTATAGGGATGTACAGGGTGGATTTTGCATGCAAGACCACATTCACACTATGCATTTAAAGCACTACGACGGCAATTTAAGCAGTGATGTCTTTCTCCAAAGAATTCTGGGAGCTGTTGTTTTCGAAGGTGCTGAGAGTTGTTGGTAGACACACACACACCCCAATTCTGTGAAGGAAGATGGACTGTGGGTTGCTGTATTCTGAAGAGAGAGAGAAAGAGGATGCCATGACAGCCATTCAAAGCAAATAAATGCGATTTGTCTCAAATTTTCTACCTGAAGAAGAGGACATGTCTGGAAAAAGAGGCAAACCAGTTTTAAACCAATCTCTGACAGGCACACTGCCAGCAATGCTGGTGTCCTCAAAGTATAATGTAAGTGGAAGCAAACAGTTAGTACCCTCATACCAGGGCAGAAGAAACCTTGTACCCCACAAAGGCCCTCTAACCATCTGCTAATTTCACAACACTCCCCCCTCCACTTCTTCCATCTGTTCCTAATTGCTCCTTCTGCATCTACACTCTCTCTCTCTCTCTCTCTCTCTCTCTCTCTCTCTCACATTACACACACACACAACACACACACACACACACCCACACCAACCACACCACCCCTCTCCTTATCCAAGTGCAGGTATAAGTTGTTAGCTTTTGCAAGTTCTGTGGGCTTCTCCATAATCCATTCAATACCCAGAAATTTGGGGACGCGGGTGGCACTGTGGGTTAAACCACAGAGCCTAGGACTTGCCGATCAGAAGGTCGGTGGTTTCGAATCCTGGCGACGGGGTGAGCTCCCGTTGCTCGGTCCCTGCTCCTGCCAACCTAGCAGTTCAAAAAGCACGTCAAAGTGCAAGTAGATAAATAGGTACCGCTCCAGCAGGAAGGTAAACGGCGTTTCCCGTGCGCTGCTCTGGTTCGCCAGAAGCGGCTTAGTCATGCTGGCCACATGACCCGGAAGCTGTATGCTGGCTCCCTCGGCCAATAAAGCGAGATGAGCGCCGCAACCCCAGAGTTGGCCACGACTGGACCTAATGGTCAGGGGTCCCTTTCTCTTTACCCAGAAATTGCCGGTTTTCTTCCTATCAGAAACTGCTGGGGCTGGAAGTTAGAACCTATCTCTGCATGTTGAGCTATCAGAACTGCTGGCTAGAGCATCGTCCTGGCAGTGAAACAGTCTCATTCCCCACCCAGACTGGAAATTACAAAAGCCCTTTCCTGCCT